GTGTGTGTGTGTGTGTGTGTACAGGGGTGTGCAGGATCGTGTCTGGGTCTGACTAACTCTGACAGTGGAGTGTGTGAGACCATGACAACACAAAGTCAGCAGTGATTTAACCCCAACACTTCCATTTCCTTAAAAAAAAAAACTTCAATCATTCCAACATTAACTCAGAGAAGCCGCTGCGCTTCTCCGTCATGAAAACACGTTGCTGTTTTATTTCTGCTTTCAAGCACTTGGCCCGCTCCTGCCAAGCGTTTGCACCCAGACGCATCGGCCCGTGATGACCCCCCCGTGTCAAAACTCACACATGAAAGAGTGGATCCAAAGCTCTTGTTTCCACCAGGGAGTCGATGGGAGTACTGAAAAAAAAATCAATCTGAAAAAGAAAAAAAAAAACAGCTTTTAAAGTTTCTCCTCCTGCGCTCTCGCTGTTCAGGTGTGGGACGGCTTCGGGTCAAAGGAGTCAGCCATGTTTGAAAAAATGTTCACTCGGACCAAAACACATGTGATGATAAATTCTTCTCTTCTAACTTCAGCTGAAGAAGCCGCTCTCTGCTTTCGTTCAAGTTAAATGAATCAGAATAATAACTAGAGAAATTGCATTTCCTGCCAAAATGCTAGTGTGAATGCTTCATGCTGAAAATGAAGCTGCTGAAATTGAGCTAAAAATATTTAATAGCAAAATTGTTCATGTGAGCTCACTTTGAAAAAGCTGAAAGCAAAAAAAAAAGCCTAGGTTTGTAGAAAAACAGTAAAAAGGAGCACAAATCTAGTACAAAACAACAGAAAACAGCCAAAAGCCAGTAGCACAAATTAGCAGAAAAAAATACCACAAAGTAGAAAACATCAGAAGAACAGCAGAAAGAAGCAGATCTAAAGCTGAAAAGTATAAAAAAGCTAAAGTTAGCATAAATAATCTAAAGGTAGCGCCCAGTTGTAAGTAGCACTCAGATAGTGAAAGTGCTATAAACTTTTAAAAATTGCAGAAAAAAGCATAAAAGTACTAAAAGTGACAATTTTTAGTAAATGAATAAAACAGCCAAAATTTTCAGTAAAACAGCTAAATTGTAGCTAGAATTTTTAAATTAGAATAAAGAAGCAAAAGGAGCACAGGTTTACTGAACTTAGCAGAAATAGGTTGTATTAGCTACAGAAACTGGATTTAGCTTAAAACAGCTAACTTTAGCTAATAACAGCTGAGCTTTAGCTAAAATTGCAGAAAATAGCTGAAAATAGTAAAAAGCATCAGTAAAAAGCAAAAATAACACAAAGTAGCAGAAAAAAGTAGAAAAAATCAGAAGAATAGCAGAAAGAAGAATATTAGCTGAAATAGCAGGAAAAAAAGCTAAATTTTGTTTTTAAAAAGTAGCTAAAATTAGCACAAGAAAGTGAAAAACAGCAGAACCAGAACAAAATGTGTAAGGTGCTGTAAAGATTTAGAAACATTTTGAAGGGTTTTAAGGATGTTGAAAACAGTCTATTCATTGTCAATGGGGAAAAAAAGTGGCCAAAAAAGGGAAATAGCTGAAAAAGTATAAATAGCTGAAATACCAAAAGTCATAGCATCCACAGTTTCGGTCCTCCATATGACATAAATGAGCTGAACGTTTTGATATATGAATTGTTGAAATACATGTAGCATAAAAAGTGTGGAATGAGTTAGATGCCGAAAAATATATGGAAGGAAAAATTAAATTAATTGGTGATCCTCCTTATCACCCCCCAACACACACACCTCTGTCAATAATACGATTCAACCAGAAACTACTGGATATTGATTTTGATGTTTATAATGACCAACATGACGGCAATCATAAAAAGGAAACTAAATATAAGACAAACAGTAATACTTATCATAAAATGTATTTTTCATGATGGTGGGTGAATGTCGTCTTTCCTGACCCCATWTCTCAATGGGTACCTAGGGTCTTTGTTTGTGTGGCCCACGAGACTTACGTTTTGCTCACATGCTCAAAGGTGTAGATTAGAGTGCAACTGACTGGGTAKCAGGCTTAATGCTCCACGATAAGTTATAGAGAGCATAAAAGTGTCTAAAATGGTGAATACACAAATATTCATTTGGATTGAGAATTACGAAAATAATCGCTTAAAGCAGGAGTTCTCAAGCCTTTCGGGTCTGGGGACCCCTTACAAGGGTGAAAAGATTCCAGGGACCCCCTCATAAACCCCATGCTATTTTAAAAGATAATTTACTGTCATTTCAACCCCTAAATTCCATGGGAATACAGTATATATTTTTATCGAGTTTATTATGTTTATTTTATTAGACATTGTTCTGCATGCATTTTTAAAAGTAAAAACCAAATTAACAATTTAGTGAAATTTTTCGAGGACTCCCAAGATGCCTCTCGCGGACTCCTGGGGGTCCTGGGACCCCAATTTGAGAACCTCTGGCTTAAAGTACCTGTGACATCAAATTTTTGTAATAAACATGAATGCATTTTTGGAAAGATAACATTGATAAAGCAAAACAAATTTCACGTCACAGAGATGAATGGTTGTTGAGGTATTTGTATGCGAAGAAACAGGAAGTGATGTCAAAGGGGAATGTCTGCACAGAGCATTGTTTAAAAGCTAACAACAGAAACTGTGGAGAAAAATCTGATGTTTCTTTAGATTATTTTTAGTCGCTATCATAGAGAGATGTAGAAAAGTTAAAGTTCAAATAATTTTGTTTTAATAAACAGAGACCAGCAAGTTTATTTTATTAATGAGTTCCCTTTTGATGTCACTTCCTGTTTCACTTTGGTTGAGCCAAATTTAAAATAAAATAGGCCAATTATGTGACAAAATGGATAAAATCGTGTACTATGCCAATTTTCTTCAGTATAAAGCTGCTTTCTTTGACTTTTTGTATTTGAAGGATAGGCATGTCACTGGCACTTTAAGTCTATTTTTCAAAGTTTGTCAGGAATCTTAAAAAACGTGATATGGTCCATTTTTTGTTACGCTTTTTAGTGTTGGTCTATTATTTCAGGATGGTGTCAATGTTGAAATGAGTAGCACAAACAGTGCTCTGCTGTCCGCCATTGTTACTGCTGTTCATTTACTCGCGCAAAAAAAACTAAATTTGAGAGCTGGATTCAAAAAGCTTCAGTTGAAAAAGAAAACGAGCGGTCGTCGCGTAAACAAATGCCCAAACTCCCACAGAAATGCTACAGTTTCATTTAAAAAACAGCGATGAACTGGGCCTTAAAGTGAAACTGACTGGGTATCAGGCTTAACACCTTATTGTAGATTTTAGAAACCTAAAATTTAAGACATTGTCATGTGTTTAAAGTTGTATTTTTTGTTTGTTTGTTGTAAATGTCTTCCTCCCTCTCAAACCATACGTCTTCTCTTTAAATATGTGACTATCCTAACTGGGCTAAGGGTCCAAGCTAAAAAAAAAAAGATGATTGATATTTTTCATCTGCACTCCTGAGCCCCTCAGGCAGATCAACTGAAAAGCTGTAATATTTGTAACTCTATTAAAGCTGCACCAACACAGTTCACAGCTCTTCTAAAGAATCGACCTCTCTAATTTTCTTTCATGTAATGACCTACTTTTATTGCTTTTATTGCCCTTTTGCTTTTTCCCCTCCATGGGCTGGAGTCCATCTTAAATTACGTTTCAACCACGTTCTTTTGAAGAGAGTTTATTTGGAATTAAAACAATTTTTTGTGTTTTCAGCTGAAGGTTTTTTTTAGACTTGGTGGTCTTTATTGAAAAGCACTTGTTTGTGAAACAAAATCACCAGAAGATGTCATAAATACAAAAATCTTTATCTCTCTCTCTCTCTGTGTTCCCCTGCAGGTTTTGGACCTTGCTCGAATCTGAGCTGACCCAGTAGAACTCAGTCGAGCCCACCCAAGGCCCAGCCACGTCAGTGAAAATGGCTCCTGCTGCCATCTCTCATCCTCCATCTTCTTCTTTCACCTCCCTCCAGTCATCCTGTTTTCCCTCCTCCTCCTCACTACTCTTCCTCCTCTTGTCCTCCATCGTCCTGCTGTCCTGTCCTGCATCGGCCCATGCGGCTTCCTCTGAGAACTGTTCCGCTAGTGGAGATCCCTGTCAGGAAGGTGGGTGACAAAGAGCTAAAACATACTGAAAGTTGTACAATCATTGACCAAACAGTGTTTAATTATTCTGTTTCTCATATTTCAGGGGTCGTACTTCCTGTGTGGAACCCTCAGAACCCCTCTGTAGGCGATAAAGTGGCGCGGGCCATTGTTTACTTTGTGGCACTTATATACATGTTCCTGGGCATGAGCATCATAGCAGACCGGTTCATGTCGTCTATAGAGGTGTGTCAATCATCAAATGCTCAGATTCTCATTATCCCGTGATGCTACATCGGTTTATTTAAGTGGATTTGTGTACTTCCTGTTGTAAACTCTGTAGGTCATAACATCCCAGGAGAAGGAGATCACCATAAAAAGGCCAAATGGCGAAACTACCACGGCCACGGTCCGAATCTGGAATGAAACTGTTTCTAATCTCACACTAATGGCCTTGGGTTCCAGTGCTCCTGAGATACTGCTGTCAGTGATTGAGGTTGGTGCATTACAAGCTCAGATTCTTGGATACAAACTGAGACGGGGTGATGATAATCTCCTCTACGCAGGTTTGCGGTCACGGTTTTGAAGCCGGGGCCCTGGGTCCCAGCACCATTGTAGGCAGCGCGGCCTTCAACATGTTCATCATCATCGCCCTGTGTGTTTACGTGGTTCCTGACGGAGAGACGCGGAAAATCAAACACCTCCGGGTGTTTTTTGTCACGGCAGCTTGGAGCGTCTTCGCCTACATCTGGCTCTACATGATCTTGAGTGTCTTTTCCCCTGGAGAGGTGGAGGTGAGGATATGTTTTGAGCAACACGTTCTCACTCCCGGCTCATCAACATATTGACGCTTGGTCAGGTATCATCTACGTCCAGTTTTAACGCGTCGGGAACCCCCCTCGCCTCAGTCATTGATGCCCGCAGCTTTTCCGGGTTGCGCCACTTAGGGGTCTTTTGGGTTGGGGGTCTGTGGTTAATATGAGGGATCAGGATTGATGGTTAATTTTAGGTACTGAGGTCGGGGATAGACTGTATAGGGCTAATAGAAGTTAAATTTAGGGTCTGGGATGGTTAGCTGTTGCGCATTCTCTACACTTTCAAAAATGGTTAATATGAGGGATCAGGATTAATGGTTAATTTTAGGTACTGGGGTCAGGGATAGGCTGTATAGGGCTAAGATAAGTTAAATTTAAGGTCTGGGATGGTTAGCTATTGCGCATTTCCTACTCTTTTCAAAAAATATGACAACGCGCTCGTCCTCCTCCGCCTCATCTCGTTAAGAACTGACGCGAGGAGGTACCCGACACGTCCGAAGCTGGACGCAGACGACTACCTGACCAAGCGTCAATATGTTGATGAGTCGGGAGTGAGAATGGGTTGTTTTGAGACAAAACGAAAACAAGGAACCAGTTTGAAGATTTACCGTATTTTTTGAAGTATAATACGAAAAATTAAATCCATAAAATCATCCATAAAGTTGGGGGGTAGTACTATACTCGGATCAATATTTTTGCTGATGTATTTTAACTGAAATATCGGCCTCATTCACAAAATGCCAGAGTCCGGAAATGAAACCACGTCGTAAAAAGCGGTTGAAGCGAGCTTACCTCTGACACTCCTTTGTACCTCAGAGCGAGATAGTAACAAATCCAAGCAGGCAACATGATGTGAAAAAAAAATGAAAAAAAAGTCAGTCCTGCAGCTTAGTAATGATAATGAATTAATGACATTAAAGTGCGACCGGGCCGATCCTGGAACAACAACAAACACATGTTCGTCTGTTATGGCTGCTGTCTACCGGTGTTCTGTAAATGTTGGTCTACCTGAAAAACATTTCCCCACCAGAGGGGGCGCTCGTGAGACAAAGAGGATGAGATTGTTGTTGAGTGAGATTCTGATGCCTTTATTACAGACGAGGAATACCAGAAACTTTTAATGATACATATGATGGTGAGCCTGACTTTAAAGGATTTTGATTCAGCTCCATCCACACTTGTTAGAGCCACATAGCTCTATCGGTTTATGTCACATCAGTTAACAAATGAGCATTGCTAAATTTCATATTAATAGGTTTTTTGTAGTTACTTTCATACATTTGTTGTTGTCTACCTTTTAGTACGTTGTTAAGATAAAATAAAAAAACTGATACAACAGTCAAATGATCATTTTACTGATATTTATAAAGACTGCAAAGGTTGAAAAATCCTGAAATCCATAAAAAATTGAGGTATTATGAGAATTTAATTTTTTATGCTTTTTAGGCTAAAAATGGGGGGGAGGTCGTATTATACATGAGATCGTATTATACACAAATAAATACGGCAATTCATCTTTTTTTCTCTCTCTCTGCAGGTATGGGAGGCTGTGTTGACCTTCCTCTACTTTCCCCTCTGTGTGGTCCAAGCCTGGGTGGCCGATCGACGCCTGCTCTTCTACAAGTATGCCCGCAAGCGATACCGCGCCAACAAGAATCGTGGCATCATCGTTGAGACGGAAGGAGGTCCAGACGGAGGATTTGGGGGCATGGACGGAGGAGTCGGAGGAGCTCTGGGTCCGGGCGGTTTCACCAAGATGGACATGCTGGAACTGGATGGACAGATGGCTCTGAACTGCCACAGTGGGATACATGCAGGGATGATGGGAGAGGGTGGAGCAAAGGACGAGGAAGACGAGGCCAGGAGGGACATGGCAAGGACACTGAAGGAGCTGAAGCAGAGGCATCCAGACAAGGACATGGAGCAACTGATTGAGATGGCTAATTATCAGGTGAGTCAGCTAATCTCTTTGTTGAAATAAGTTAAAAAAAGAACATATAGTATTGACAGTATTTGGAAAGATTGCTGCAGTGTGGATAATCAGAGTGAAATTGTCACGGAGGAGCTAAGAGTTTTGCTAACTCTATTCTGAGTCAAGCTAACAGCTACTAGGAGTCAAACCATTAGCTTTTCACAGCTGCTCAGAGAATATTGATAAAAGCTTTTTTGGAGTCATCTCAAAGTCCAGCAAATAGCTACTAGGAGTTAGAGTAAAGCTAACAGCTACTCAAAGGCTGTGTTTTGTCGGCTGCATTTGTTGGCCACATTAGTAGGCCGCTATGAATTGGGACAGTCTACGGCACATGGCAGTGAAGTAAGCGGCCAACTACGTCAGCTGCAACCCCTGAATTGAGACAGCCTCACCCCAGATTTACACTACCTGCGACTCCGCTGCGCTGCGCTGCGCTGCGCAGTTTGCAGCTGTTCGTTTGTAACCCATTTTACTGTATATGGCATCAGCTCCGCTCCGGTGCGACACACAGAGGACGGAGGGTGTGCAGGAAGGAGATTGCGCGATAAATCCAATGATAAATGTGGAAGTCAGAGCAAAAAATAATTAATTCTGTGAAAACATTGATATAAAAGCTTTTGATATCTATGTTTGAAACTGCATCGCTGTCGTCTTTTTGAAACTTCTGATTTCAAAATAAAATCTGCGTGTATCGTATGTGTACACGTATGCTACATCTACATGTTGCCATCTGCTTCCCAAACAGAATGATACATTCTGACAGCATTTGTGTATAAACAAATCCATATATTGATTAATATAGCTGGGGTTTCGACAAAATTATTCCGCCTACTGGTGTCTTATTCTGAAAATGCGGATGTTGTGCTTGTTCCTTTTCCTGTTGATGCAATGTGATCTCTGTAGATTAACTCCGGAGCAGCTCCGGTGTCCGGAAAAATAGGATCGGTTCTAATTTTGCCGGATCGCCGTCCGCCATTCGCAGCCAGTGTAAATGCTCTCATTTATTAGAATGGTTGTGTATTTGCTGCGGAGGTCAGACCACAGCAGAGCCGCTTGTAGTGTAAATTAGGGGTCAGAGTCAAACTAATGCTGCGTTCACACTGAAACTGATTTCAGCATCAGGAACGTCAGGTTTATATGCAAAGTCTATGATGGATGCACGTCAAGCAGTGCTGCGGAGCGTTTAGCGCGATTAGAGCGGCACCATTTGAACGATTTGAACGATTTGAGCGAGTGGAGCTGGAGTTGGAAAATCTGAACTTTTGCAGCCCGATGCGGTGCGTCAATCACTCAGAGAAACTCCACTGTGTGACGTAGTTACAGATTTTCTGACGCGACAGTTCCCTGAATGATTTGCTGTCAAGCTAACTATTAGCCTATTTGGAATCAAGCTAAATGCTACTCAATATCAAACAATAGCTGCTTATAGTAATGCTAACAATTGCTCAAAATTATGTTATTACATGGAATATACATGGAGTCGAGCTAACAGCTACTCAAAGTCAAGCTAACAGCTAATTGGAGTCAAACTAATACCTACTTACAGCAATGATGTTTGGAGTCAAACGAACTGACATTTATCACCAAGCTAATGGCTACTCAGAGCAGAAAACATTCAAAAGCATATTTCTGCCATCTAAAAGAAATCAGTCATTTTAAAAGCATTTCAAGTGAAGGTTTTATCAAAAAATTTTTTTACATTTTCTTCGTAAGTTGTTCACATTTTTGGATTTTGTTTGTTTTTCTCAATCGCGTTTGTTATGCTACGCTAACTGTGTATGGTGAAACAGCTGAATGGATTTTTGCCAAAGATAACAAGTGATGAACATTTTCTTTCGGTCTTATCTCAAAACAGGGACTACAGGCAGCAAAAACAAGTTATTCCCAAAGCAAATGCAAGTGGCCTTTTTTTCTGAAGAGATAAGAGAAAGCCGAGGGGACTCACAGTAGCTGTAAGATGGTTTCTGCATTGCAGTAAGCTTGGTTAGAAAAATAGCAAAAACTGTCAGGAAGGTTTTATATAATGTTTCAATGTATCATAATACAATTATATTTGGCATAATCATAACTATGAATGTAAAAAAACAGGGAACAATCAGAGAATTCAGATTCTGGGAGTTTGTAACTAATTATGACGTGCTTTCTTCTAAATTTAGCTCTCAGTGAAATTAATTTGCATCCCAGTTGACCTGCATACTAAACTGGACTTGGGTGAAGATCTTCTGGCTGTAATTACTTCTCAAAAAGAAAAATGTTTAAAGGGAAATGAAGCTTACCGAAATTGCTGCTGCTGCTGTGCTCGTCCCGTAGATTTGAATAAATTCCCAGCAAAGAGAACACATTTAATTTAACGATCTTCACTGCTACAAAAGCCAATTTGTTCATTTTCAATTTGGTGGATCGTTAGGATTACTATTCAGCCATGCAGTTTCACTAAAATCATTGCTATTAGATTGATAAGCACCATTAGGTTCGACACTTCGTCTGAGAGCTGGAAACAAAAGTTCGGTATTTTATGCAGAATTTTCATTAAAGAAATTTGAACCGTTCCATTTATAGAACCAAGACTAACCTGAGCAGAGAGCGTCCCGTTCTCAGCGTGAAAGTAATCGATCATAACTGTTTCATCTGTTTAATCAGGTGCTGATGCAGCAGCAGAAGAGCCGAGCGTTTTACCGAATCCAGGCGACCAGGATGATGATCGGAGCCGGCAACATCTTGAAAAAGCACGCCGCAGACCAGGCTCGCAAGGTGAGGTGCTCTTTTATGGTCCGTGTACTGTTTGAAAAACAAAAAAAACGAGGGTTACTCTAGTTTCATTTTTCACTCCAATACGGAAAACAGTCTGTCTTTTTAGTTTTGTGAAACTACAAGTTTAATACAGTAAACAGTTTGAATCATCATTGATAAACCATCAGCTGACGCCTGTTAAAGAAATGTGGATCTAGTTAGCTAGAATTTATTTATTGCGACCGTCTGGTTAGTTAATTATAAAGTAAAACGTTTTTATTCATACCAAATAAGAAATATTTTTTAAATTACATTAGCCAGACCAGCTGTATTAATAAAAAATACAGTAACGTTTGTTAACAAGTTATTTAACTTCAAATCATCTGGTAACGGCAGTATTAAAATTCCAGATTGAGAAGAATAAATATTTTTCTGTTTTTGGAGATTTAAATGAAAAATAGAGAAAAATTGCATTTCCTGCGAAGATGCAGTGTGAATGCTTAATGCTGAAAGATTTGTGATGAATAGCTAAAAACAGGATAAAACCAGCCTAAAAATAGCTAAAAAGAAAAGGTAGCTGAAATATAAGAAACAGAGCTCATGTTTGCTGAATTAAGCAGTAAGAAGCTGAAATTATTACAAAAAGATGAATTTGGCTTTGAAAAAAGCTTCAATTAGCTGAAGAGTAGCAAAAAACATGGAAAAAATCTGAAATTAAGCAGAAAGCAGCTGAAAGGAGCATAAAAACTAAAATAACAGAGAAAACAGCTGAAATTCACAGAAAGTAGCTGAAAGAAGCACAAAAAGTTAAAATTAGCAGTAAAGGTCAGAATGCTAGAAGCCACAGGAAGCTGAAATTAGCACAAACAAGTTAAAAAAGGAAGAATAAAATTAGGATGAAAATAGAACAAAAGGTAAAAAGTTCAGTAAATATTTATAAACATTTTTGAAAGGTTTTACAGCTGCATTCATTTTTCATTAGAAAAACATGGCCRAAAAAGCTAAATAAGTCAAAAAGTATAAATTGTTGAAATATCAAAAGTCATAGCTGAAACGTCCTGAAGGAGCCGAACGTTTTGATCTATTAATGGTTAAAACAGCACGAACTGTGGAACGAGTTGAGCACTGAAAAACAAACGCATTCGCACAATAACCATCTAATTTTCAGTATCTGTTGAAAATGAAAAAAAAAGTACTCAGAACTTTTACCCCTCAATGTGACCTTTTCATCCGATACTTAAAGCTGCTAACCGTCTCTATTGAAGGTGGTGAGCAGCCACGAGACTCAGGCTCAGGAGGACGACCCTCACACCATCAGGATGGAGTTTGAACCCTCTCTGTACCAGTGCTTCGAAAACTGCGGCTCGTTGAATCTGACCGTCGCAAGACACGGAGGCGACCCCGGAGTCACCGTCAAGGTGCGTTTGTTTACCGATGAGAAGTGGAAATAAAAGTCAAACACCAGAGGAAAACAAACACATTCCTCAAATCGATGTTTCTCATTAGAGATAATTAAAAACCCTGGTTTTTGTTCATTTTTTTTCTAATGAGTTGCTCCTTCGGGTGGAGAGATGTTTCAGGAAAGCTGGGAAATGAGCTTTATTTTTATTTTCAGGCAGCTCAAGGAAAAGCCCATCCCTTTGCAACAAACCATTGATCTCTGTGTTAACGCCGGCCCGATCCTCTGACTAAGAGAATCTGTCTGAATGAGGGACCCTCCTGCCGGGAGCATCAGTGAAGAAGGCTGATATCTGCATAATCTTTGCATCTGATTCTACAATGTTGCCAGATCACTGTGTAGGAATTCACAAGAACCAGACTCCGGGGGTTATAAAGACATTTCATCATTCAGATAAATCCTCTCATTGTTTATAGATGTTTTTCTATTGTCTGCTCTCACCACAGCTCGATTCCCCCTTATGGCGATCTCCAGTTGTTACGTCACGTAATATCATTTACACACATTATTTACAGCTCTCTCAAATGATCGGACAAATCGGCGTGACTTCTACGGTTAGCATCAGAACAGAAAAGGATGTTCCAAGAGTGAATTTTGACACATCCGACTTCAGGAAATATGAGAAAGTTCAGTTAAAACGTTGCAGGAGGATCGAGGTCTTCCACAGACTTAGAAAGCGAGCAAAATTGTTAAAAACATTGGTGTTTTATAGCGTAGCTTGCCACTTCTATATTGTGTTTATTTTTATCAATCAAACCATTTCTTCTGCATCATTAAAGAAATTTAACGTTGGTTTCCAATTTAAGTATAACTAGACATGGGTTTTTACGATGTAAAAACAAGTGTACATTGCCTTGTAGCATGTCATTGCAGCATGGCTTTGCCTGCAGCAATGGACTTGCAGAATGAACTGTGACCAAGTTCAAATGTGTTTTCTACACCAGCTTGTGCTTGTCAAGTCAACAGGTGTTTGTAATAAGGGTAATTTGTGTGACAATATGAAGTTTGGAGAGATTTTCTGTTGCTTTAGCTAGGTTTTGTACCCTGCTCTCCCACATGAAAGTCCATGGCATTGAACATTAGACCATTGGAGCTGTGGCCGAGGGTGGTGCCAGGGGTTGGTTTGTATTTGTGCAGAAAGGGGCCACATTGCCAATGCAATTATTGACACTAAACTGCATAATAGTACAACAATAGAGCAGTATTAAGACAACATTATAGTAAAACATCAAAGTACAATCATATTAGTATTGTAACCACTGAACTATTGAGATCAAATATTACTAAACAATGGTTCAGTACGGAGTAGATACAGCAGGGGGCAGTATTGGATCAATACAAGGTTCTATTGACTCCCATTATAAATTATTAAACATTAATATTTCAAAAACTATAAGTTGTACAGGCACCAAAAGGCACAGCCATCATTTGGCACAGGAGCTTTACAGATATAAATTAAAATGGCAGCTCTAGGACAAAGTATGCAGGAGGAGAAGCATGGCAAAGTGGAGATGACTTGGATGGGAAACGAATCACAATAGTGTACATTGCATTGGCAATGCACACTGATGATAATATCACTGTATGTGTGAGTGACTGCAGTAGAGTGCCGTATGAGGCTAGCATGGATGCTACGAGTAGAACTAGCACTACAGTCAAAACATTAAAGGGTTTGCTGCAGAGGTGCTCAATATTGACTTTTTGCCGATATTCAATATGCCGATATTATTCAACATTTAATTTCCACTTCCGATATTAACGATATTACAAACCAATATTAAGATGGCATCACATATCTCCTGTCAGGGACATTATGCCTTATTTTTGATACCCCACTGGATGCACTCCATAGGTAAACACTGTCTGTACCAAAATAACTGAAGTTAGGGAAAAACTGCCTCATTTATTTTTAACATTTTGCCTYAAACGATAGTTTGGATCATGCTCTCTCTGAGATAATCCAGTTTGATGATGTCATCAGTTGTGCACCGGTGAACGTCTCTGGACCACAAGCATTTATTAACACATTTTGGTCAGATCCAGGCGTTAATTTATCAAGCTTTTGTTTACCAGAAGAGAAACCGATACCGATATATAGAGATTTTATAATTTTATGATAAAATCGGACCGATAATATCTGTAGGCCGATATTATCGGACATCCCTAGTTTGCTGTACCTGTTTATGGACAGAAAGTACAGGAATAGGATCTGGGTGGACCTGTGTTGGTCGTTTACCTCCGATAAAATGTTCGGAGCAGACATGAAGTCCATGGTTGCACTTTTTTATGGTCAAACTCGGCTCGTCCTATCACTCGAATCAGCTGTTAGCTAGCATCTTAGCTTGGTAAAAGTGACAAAAATACTCCTTTTATGTTGGGATGATATCCTGAGTCACTGTAACAATCGTGGCACAATGCCTTGTGGTCCTGGTGGAATTTGATGCAGTTTTCCCAAATATATTTAAGTTTAAACATGACTAAACCAATGGAGCCGCTACCAGTTTATACGTATGGGTGTTGAGCAGATGTAGTCACATGACTCATGTTCTAAAAATAGCCTGATCATTTGACCCGACTTGGTTCTACACGGTCTCTAGTGTCAATGAGGTGGGTTGTTAAAGTGTAGCCACCTGATATTTACAAAAGAGAAATAAAGTCCCAAACACTCACGGTCCTCTGCCACGTTGTCGTAGTTGATAGCTGAGTGGAAGTCACGTCCTTCCACCACAAATCTAAATTTACGGGTCAGCTCGTCGAGTTAGTCCCATCACATCCCATGTTTAGTTCAAATACAGGTGAGCTGTCGCCGAATGTGCTGCGACAAATTCAAAATAAGACAAATATTCTTACTTTCAGCTTCATGCAGCTTCTTTACCAAAACTAATCAAGTCTTTTGCAAAAAAAAAAGTCTTGGTCCTGTGGCTTAGAGCACCATGATAGCAGCTAATGAATATTTCACAAATGCAATCAGGATTATTATTTGATGCCTTCATTTCCTCACACCTTGATTTACCAAAAAAAGAGAGAGAAAAAGCCTTCTGCAGCAATAATGAGTCCATAAAATGACTCCAGACTGTGGAGCCTAAAGCTAAGAGGATGTTCAAAGAACGCATCGGTGGTTTGATTTCTGCCAGAAACAATTCTATTATTTTATGTTGCTTTTTTTCTCTTTTAAATCATTAAAATAAGGAATAATTTCCAACACGTAATGGCAAAATTGATGAATTCAGCTCTGCACACGTCTGGAAAAACCTGAAATATCACCCAGCCTCGGGACAGAACCAGAAATATCAGGCAGAGGAATGAGTGTTGAGAGGGAAAAAAAAGAAGAATTAAGCAGATCTGAGAGCGTACACATTTCAGCAAGAGCTAAAAATAGATTTGAGCTGAAAGATTCATCTCAGCAGCAGCAGCAGCAGCGGAGGCGTTAACCTGACTTCACAGTTCAGCTGCAAACAGAAACAAAGTCGTTTGGTTTTAGTTTGTTTACGTTCAGACGAGATGAGTGTTGGAAAAAAAAAAGGCTGAATGAGGAGAATCTTTATGATCACAGTGTCTGACCAAAGTGTTTGATTTAATGAGGCTGTTTCCATTCTTCTGCCATGTCCCTCTGCGTTAATCTGCCCTTTTCATAAGTCTCATCTTTTTCATCTTTCTGTTTTACTCTCATCTCCTCCATCTGCTCCCAGGTGGATTACCGCACGGAGGACGGCACTGCCAACGCAGGTTCGGATTACGAGTTCGCTGAAGGAACGCTGCTGTTTAAGCCGGGGGAGACCCTGAAAGGTAAACTAAAAACAAAACAAAAAAAAAACAATCACTGACAGTAAAAACTGATGACATGTTTTCTGAAGCCGTGTCACTGAGACTAGAGCTCAGATGAGAGTCGTCCTCAGAGCTGCGGATGAATCCGTCTCAGGTTTATTTACTCCAGTTACTCAGAGTTGGTTTTCTCCACAGAGATCACCGTCGGCGTGATTGACGACGACATCTTCGAGGAGGACGAGTACTTCTACGTGCACCTCAGTAACCCCCGTGTGGTCGGTTACCCCGAGGTGGGCGCCGCCCCGCTGGACAGCAGCACCGCGCCCAAAGCCGTGCTGGGCGACAACCATACGGCCACGGTGACCATCTACGATGACGATCACGCAGGTAAACAAAGTGTGAGACGAGGAGATTCACAAGGATCTCAACTGATGTGCATCAGGTTGAACCATAGACTTGAATAAGATCACTAGACTGAGCCCCGCCCATACCGTCCACTGGTAGTGTCTGTGACAACATGGAGGAGCAGAAACAGACCAAACAGGGCAACAGCTCACAGCCTCCATAGAAACTAATAGATAAACAGCAGCTGAACTGGATCTGTTTCACAGATTATCTGTCATGTTTTTACAATAAATTAATAACTATGTTAATTTCATTCAACAAACATGTAAAACAGCAGATTTATACCAGAAAAATATTAATAAATAACAATGATCTAAACCAGACCTGAAGTCAGCCTGTAACTTAGACTTTAGCTAGTTGAAAAATTATGACTTCAGTTAGTAATAAAATATATTTATAATTTCTTCTTACTGTCATAAAAATAATAATAATTCTATTTACCAGTCAACAGTTAGAAAATGTTCTCTGGTTATAGGATGAAACTTGTCTCTATTAGCTAAACATCTCCTTAACATGTCAGGTTCCTCTAACAGAAACCTAAAAATACTCACATTTATAATATTATTTTACACTCTGTAGGTCTAAATATTAATCAGAGGACAAAGTAATATTTAATAGTTTGTGTTAAATTGTTGCTCCACAAGCTAATATCTGTTAACCAGTTCAATAAATAACAGTGATTACATGGACTTTATCAGATTATTTTAATTTTAAACTGTTACATTATGTTCTGCTCAGATCACATTGAGCTAAATAAGATCAAATCTGCTGACTTGTGTTGTAAAATGAGACGTTTTCCTGTTTATCTTCTGTTAATAAATCCATAACACAAACAGCTTTTCTGACATCATTTAAAACATTAGATAGATTATATAAACTGTAAAATATTAATAATAATTGGATTAATATTATTATTAATAGTTTTAATGATTTATACATCGCCAGTCCTGTTTTTCAGCTCTGGTGTCAACATGTACAGTAACGGGAAATCCAGACTCTTGACCGTTTAGCGTTAGCCGTTAGCTTAGGCCGGCTGAGGGAGACAAAACTAAACACTTAAAAATGAAAACCTCTTTAGTGCCTCCTCCTTTTAAAGTTCTCGAACACGAGGACGAGTCTGAATCAGAATTAATTAATTAATTAATTAATGAGACCACGTTCCTTTCCTCCGTCAGGCATCTTTACCTTCGAAGGCGCCAGTCAGAGGGTGAGCGAAAGCGTCGGCGTGATGGAGGTGAAGGTGCTCCGAACGTCGGGGGCTCGAGGTTTGGTCGCCGTCCCTTATCGAACCCTGGACGGGACCGCCAAAGGAGGGGAGGACTACGAAACGGCTGCGGGGAAGCTGGAGTTTCAGAACGACGAGACCATGTGAGTCCACCCCCACCCTGCCAACACCGGAGACAGAGAAGTGTTTAATAATTCCAGTTTTGGGTGCAGGCTGGTCTGGATTAAACTCTGGAACACGCTCACAGAAACGCCTCTGCGACCTGCAGTGCATGAATTTTTAATCTGCTGATGTTAGCAGTGTTAAATTGACCAATATATAAAGCTGTTGGGGAAGCAGCTTGCTCAGTGGGGCTCATAAAACACACAGTCTGTGTCTAGGTGTGTGTGTGTTTGAACTGTCCATCTTACCAAGTTTTAAAATCTTATTTCCAGCCAAAAAATATTTTTGAGCTTGTATTGAGACTGATTTACTAAACAAGAACTGATTGTGTGAGAATAATAATCTTGTTTTCAGAATGTGTAAGATTATTTGTCTTGTTAGTCTGAAAATTTGACTCAAATTAAGTCGAAACTTTCTGCCAATGGAGTAAGAAAAATTTACTTGGTAAGATTCTTGAAATAAGAAAAAAAATGAGTCAAATCAAGTATTTCAAGAATCTTACCAAGTAAAATTTTCTTACTCCACTGGCAGATATTTTGACTTAATGTGAGTCAAATTTTCAGACTAACAAGACAAATAATCTTACACATTCTGAAAACTAGATTATTATTCTTAAACAATCAGTCTCTTGTTTAGTAAATCAGACTCAAAACAAGATCAAAAAGACTTTTTGGCTGATATAAGATTTTAAAACTTGGTAAGATGGACAGTTTTTGCAGTTGGATCATATCATGATTTAAGACTGAATCTTTTGTGTTGTTGCTGCTAGTGTGTCTCTAATTAATACGTATCTTGTCGGCACAGACCAGAGAAAGGTATAAGAGGCTTTTATTTTGAAGAGTACTTAAGGTGTGGACAAACCAGGTTTTTATTTGACACAAAGCGATGAGCAGTCCTGAACAGAAGATTTGATTGGGAACAGAACTAAAGGAAAATGAATTTCCTACTTTCCCTCTCACATACAGTATTTTTAGATTTTTCTTCCAGGAAGTATGATCGTTCTCACCTCATTTCCTTCTTCACCCTCACTTCTACCTTTTTATCATCTCTCAATCCACCTCATTTGCATTTTCCACCCTTCAGACTTTCACCTTTACACATTTTCTGTCTGCGTCTCCTCGGCAGCTCGTTGGCGCCTCGCTTCTTCACCTCTCGACTTCAACTTCTCCATCACCTTAAGTCTGGCTACGTAAACTTTTTATATGCACCAGCATAAAACAAACCCTGCTTTTTACTAAAGTATTAAGTCTCCCTTTAATTATCTTTGGTACTTGGCTTGCTTGGAAAAAAGTTATTTAGCCCTAGAAATTAGTTTAAAGATCTAGGGTAAATTTTCCTCCTTAATTTAATAAAATCAGCCTCTTTCTTGTATCTCTTGTAGTTTTTGCTCTATTTTAGAACAAATATGTGTTCGTTCTGTACAGCCTTGATTTATTCAGAGGTCAAATATTGTTTTTGATTTGTAAGATTTTTTTTTCAGCCAAATCAAAACCTGGACAACTCTTTTGTTTACCTATTTTACCCCTGATATATATTCTAGACAATACTTGAAAATGTAATTCTTCAGGGCAGCTTATTTGGATTTAAAGAGACGGCCTCTTTTCTGAGACACACCCCAAAAAAGGGGCGGGACTTATTGAGTTACACTAAGGAGGATTTCAGAACAAAGCGTTGTAGTTCCACTTTATATAGACCCCAAACGAATGATTTAAATGTAAAAAAGAAGGATTTAAAACAATATGTCCACCTTAAACCTTAAAGAGCTTTAAGAAAAGCTGTCCTGCCTCCCCGTCTCAGGGGTCAGAGGTCAGGATCGGTCTGTGTATTGGTCTTGTCGGTCTGCTTGTCGTGACGAGTCTCCCTCAGGCTGTAAACATCAGCTCGACATCTTCACTGACAGAAGTAGACAGAGCCTGATGATGTCAGGAGATCCTGCTCTGTAAACCATGACTGTGCAGATTTTATCTACTGAGCTGATGTCAAAGCAGAAAATACAGAAGCTCAAACATCCAGAGGCCCCCCATTCAGGGTGGATTTCAGCAGCTAAGGGTGTTTTTTTATGGTAAATGTCAGAGTTTGACACAAAATGCGACTCGGTGGGTGACCTGGTTTGTGTTTATATTTCTGTTCAGTTTATTCAGGGTCATTTTGCAGAAGCCACACGTGTGTATCTGTATTTATTCACTCTGTGGTTCCATTATTTTCTTCAGCAAGTAATTAATTATCTCCGTTTTCAGCCAATTAGTGTTTCTTTTATCTGTCGCTTCGCCCCTCTCCCTAGAGGAGCCGACAAGTGTTTTCTTCTTTCTGTCTGCAGCTCTCAGTTTGTCTTCTCTGCCTCTTTCTGGGTCGTGTGCACGAATCAGTGTGTGTGTGTATATGTGTGTGTGTCTGTGTGTGTGTGTGTGCATGTGTGTAGAGGTTAAGAAGAAGGTGACATGTGCGTGAGACTTTAGAGATACTCTCAACAGGGTCGGGGTTATTCTTAGCCGTCTTCTGACCTACGACTCAGTTCAAGCCGAGAACCACAGAGCGGAGTGTGTGTTTGTGTGTGTGTGGTCCTCTCCCCTGACTGCTAATTATGAATTTGAAACAGGTGTCGCCACCTAACTGTGCCAGCATCTGCTCAGTGACTGCCTGGTTGTGTGTGACGAGTCTCATCTTCCAGAGTTGTCCAGTAGAAACAGGTTTATTTCTTTATTTGAGGTAAAAACCACAGACGCTCCGAAAAACTGGTCCTGCAGCGTTGACTCTTTGCTCTCCTCAAGGTTAGTAGTCTCAGTAGCGGCCACTTGGATTGAACGAGCTGGACGCGGAGAGTTTCGAACGGGTGCCAATTTATTCTCTTTGTAATAATGTGGAATGGCACAGGGAAAAAGTATTGAACACACTTACTGAAATTTATCTAATACTTTGTACAAAAGCCTTTGTTGTCAATGACAGCTTCAAGACGCCTCCTGTATGGAGAAACTAGTGGCATGCATTGCTCAGGTGTGATTTTGGCCCATTCTTCCACAAACAGTCTTCAAATCTTGAAGGTTTCGTGGACCTCTTCTATGAACTCTGATCTTTAGTTCTTTCCATAGATTTTCTGTTGGATTCAGGTCAGGTGATTGGCTGGGCCATTCCAGCAGCTTTAGTTTCTTTCTCTGAAACCAACTGAGAGTTTCCTTGGCTTTGTGTTTGGGCTCATTGTCTTGCTGAAATGTCCAGCCACGTTTCATCTTCATCATCCTGGTAGATGGAAGCAGATTTTTATCAAGAATGTCTCTGTACATTTTCCACTCATCCTTCCTTCAATTATTTGAAGTTTGCCAGTACCATATGCTGAAAAACAGCCCCACACCATGATGTTCCCACCTCCAAACTTCACTGTTGGTATGGTGTTTTTGGGCTGATGTGCAGTGCCATTTGACCTCCAAACATGATGTGTATTCTGGCATCCAAACAGTTCAATGTTGGTCTCATCTGACCAGACTATATTCTCCCAGTATTACACAGGCTTGTTTAAATGTTGTGCAGCAAACTTTAAAGGAGCTTCAACATGCTGTTTCTTCAGCAGTGGAGTCTTGCGTGGTGAGCGTGCATACAGGCCATGGTGGTTCAGTGCATTACTTATTGTTTTCTTTGAAACAATCGTACCTGCTAATTCCAGGTCTTTCTGAAGCTCTCCACAAGTGGTCCTTGGCTCTTGGACAACTCTTCTGATAATTCTTTTCACTCCTCTGTCAGAAATCTTGCGAGGAGCACCTGGTCGTGGTCGGTTTATGGTGAAATAATGTTCTTTCCACTTCTGAATTATGGCCCCAACAGTGCTCACTGGAACCTTCAGAAGTTTAGACATTCTTCTGTAACCGATGCCATCATTATGCTTTGCAACAATAAGGTTGTGAAGGTCTTGAGAGAGCTCTTTACTTTTACCCATCATCAGATGGTTCTTGTGTGATACCTGGCCATCATTTGGGACTGAACCAGCTGATATTAACTTGCACTGACAAGGGGCAGGCTTGCTTTCTAATTACTGAGAGAGTTCAGCTGGTGTCTTGGCTTTCCATGCCTTTTTACACCTCCCTTTCTTCATGTGTTCAATACTTTTTCCCTGTGCCATTCCACATTATTACAAATAACTTCATTTCTGGACATTTATGGTTTGATTTCTTTGTATGTATGGATCACTTGGGTTGTTACCAACATCTGGTGAAAATTTCATGTCATTAGCACCTCTAGTAATATATTTACTGAGAAAAATGGTGACRTGTTCAATACTTATTTTACCTGCCGTAAATTACAAAATATCTCTGTAATTTTACAACAGTTCACAAGTAAATTATTCACATATTATTATTCTTTTAAACTCTAAATAAATTTACCAAGCAAAAACAATAAATCTCAACTGCAACATACTTTTTATAAACGTGAAACACAGTATCTTATGAAAACAAACAAAATGTACATTTTATACCTCCTTCCGCCTTCCAAGTGTGCTAATAAAGTTAAAATCTTCTCGTTAGCATTCAAACATCTCACCCTGAGCCTCCCTTGATGACATGTGCTCATTTTAGCTAGGAGCCAGGGATCAGAAAAACCGGAAACAAAAAAACAAAACAAAAAAAAAAAAACGGAAAAGTAGTGCCCTTCAAAATAAGAGTGCAACAGCCTACACGATGTAAAAATAAATGTTAAATCAAAATAATTAGCCTTCCTTTACAGTCTCACTGGGCTGGTTTGTTTTGTTGGAGACCAGCTGGTGACTTCAAAATCGTGAGGAAATAGTCAATACTGCCTCTTCATCTAAAACTGACCAACTTCGGGATTTATTGCAGTTTTCTGTTCTGTGGGGGGAGTTTTTTCTTCCAATGGACCTTAGTTAAAGGTGACGGGAGGATGTAGTGATGGACTGGAGCCTCAGTACAAATACTGTACATATTGCAGGGTTAGCAATGTCAGTTTTAGCAATATCCTGCAGCCGTACTCAGTAATA